CCAGATATATTTGTAAAAATTATGAAAATTTTATGCTATTAATTTCATAAATGCTAGCTGAACCATCCCCATCAGGGAAAGCTGCAAAGACAGAACTGTGAATGAACCACAACTAACTCCCTTGTTTTTGTGTTTTCATTTCACCTTTAACTTTTTTATTATTACTTTTGTGGTCAGACTTTTAATGAAGTAGCACCTTCTTACCTGTCAAAGCCACATGATTTCCATGATTTCTGAACCATTAATTTTGTGTTGAATGTAGTGCCAAATGATACCACTTTAATTGATGTGGGCTAATGAGCCAGGTGCACAGTCCAGTTAACAAGGGCCCGCACATAGCCTCACCCTGGGACAGTCAGTGATCTGGTATGTGGTAAGTGAATCTTCATTCTAGCGAATCCGCACCTGTATAATGAAGGCAAAACACTTCTTTTGAAAGTCTTTAGCTTTGTTTTTTGTATTGGCTCTGTAGCTGTACATAATTTGCTAGTACATATACTTGTCAATGATCTTTGACACCTTCTGCTGATGGACTTCAGAGCCTTCATTGCTCTATGGTCTGTCATTGCAATGAGTCGTTATATATGACTCAGGCACACAAAAGGCAAAGTGCAGGTTTACTGGCTTGGTATTACTAGGTCAATAGATCACAATTACCTGTTGGAGGTTTTTGCCCAGCTATCATCATGTGTAAAATGGACAGTACAAGAGTAGTTTCTTAGAGATTTTACCCCCAAATGTCACACTCTGCCATCACGTGTGCCTTAAATTACCATGTAAAGCAACAATGTAGAGCCTTCACAATTAGGAAGTCAACAAGAAAGTTTAATTCCCAACATAATACATCTCTGTTTTAAGAGATGTGTATTTTCCAGGGATATTATGATCATTCCCACTACATACTTAAAAAAAAAATTCCTCTCATTTTATGGGAGCAAACTGCTTGCTCTCTAAGGAACTCCATCCAGAATTCTGGTCAAGTCAAACATTACCAACATTTCAAATGTCTCTATTTTTCTATAGCTTCTATCCTTACTAAGCAACCAGTTTGTGAGGATATAAAATGGTATCACAACTTTGGAAAATATTCTGGCTATTTCTGAAAAAGTTCAATAAACATCTACCATATCATCTAGCCATTCTACTCAGTATTTACCCAAGAGAAATTAAAATACATTTCTGTATAAAGACAGAAATGTTCATAGAAGTTGTATTTGTATCAGCCAAAAAATGGGAAAGAATCCAAATAAATGTTCACCAACAGATGAATAGTTCAACAAATGGATAGCCATACAATACATTCTATTCAGCAACACAAAACAATGAATTATTGCTACACACAACAAAAGGGATGATTTTCAAAACAATTAGGTCAAGTGAAAAAAACATAAAAAAAGATATACTGTATGATCACATTTATATAAAATTCTAGAAATGCAAACTAATGTACAGAAACAGGAATATAGACCAGTAGCTGACTGAGGGTAGGGGGAGCAGGAAGGGGTAAGAAACAGGGTTAGAAAAGCATCTAGTCCATTTGGGAAACGCTACAAAATACTGCAGGCTGGGTGACTATAAGTGACAGAAAATGTGTTGCTTACAGATCTGAAATCTGGAAGTTCCAAGTCAGGATGCCAGCTTGACCACACGAGGGCCCTCTTCTGGAGGTCGTACACTTCCTGTTGCCTCAGGAGGTGGGAGGAGCTACATTGCTCTCCACAACCTCTTTTATGAGGATACTAGTCCATCCACTAGGGTTCTAGCCTCCTGACTCAGCACTTCCCAGAGGCCTACCCCCTGATTCCATCACCTTTGGGGTTTAAGGTTTCAGTGTATGAATTGAGTTGTGTTCTGCAGGACCTGCAGCCTGTCTCTTTTCTTCTCATTGTTGTGCAGTCATTCTAGGCTGGGTAGACTTATCACTGGTTACAGGGCAGCCCAGTTGTGGGGCCTCAACCGTGTGCTTAAAATTCAGTTGTACTGCAGACACACACAAAAGGGTCAATAATGGGTTTATTTACAAAAGGGGAAAAGAAAAGTAAACAACCCAGGGAACGAGAGAGGAATACAAATTAACTGGTTGATTTGGAGCTCTGGTAACAAACTAACTGATAGCCCCCAGTCACATGGTCCCGAGAGTTGTTTCCCTCAGCAAGCACGAGACCACCATAGAAAATGGCTCTCTATTTCTCCCACAAAGTCCCAGAATGCCTGCTTAGCTCTGCCCTTGAGTCCTCACCATTCTCTCGTTGGTACTGCTGGGAGTTGTAGTTTCCAATCACTGGAGTAGAGGGTGGAGTACATAAAACTCTGCAAAATTCCTTTAGGACATCCTTCCTCTTAACAGTTCCAACAAAATTCAAAGAGAATTTTGGTGCAGGGAAGACAAAGAAGGGGAGGCAACAGCTTGAGCCCTCCTCTCCCCTAGGATGACGCTGCCTTTTTATCCATTTGGGTATGCACATTGGCACATGCATGCACACCCATTCTCCAGGTGTCCACAATCAGGCACGCAAGCCCCACACCCACACGCCTTCTGTGTTAACACAACAAAAACCATAGGTGCTAACCACAGAGGCTAGTGGCATAAAGAGCCTGGTTAATTCATTTATCCTACACTCAAGTAACCTTCCTGAGCAGCCACACTAGCCCTCCACCCAGACACTGGTAACTCCTAAATCTCCCCTGCAAACCATGTCCTCGCTCTTGAACTCCATGGTTCCACCAGGTTCCCTATGAACATCTCTATACCACTTCTAATCCACTGAGTGAAAACTACAAATCTTCCCCTATCTGGTCTCAGTTTGTAGAACTACCATCTCCCCAGATACCTGAGTGAACATAGCAAAGTAAATAGGAGCGCAGACTCTGGATTTAAATCCTAGCTTTCTGACTCACTATATATGTGTCTTGGATTTACCTTTCCATGTCTTATTTATTTGCATAATGAGTCTCTTCCTCACAGTTACTGTGAAGATTAAATACAGTGATAAATATAAAATGTTTATAGTGTCTGACACATAAGTGTTCAGTAATTATTAGATAGTATCATTGGCAACATCTACCTCTATGTCTAGTTATTTACCAAGAGCTGTTCATGTCATCTCTGCAGATTCCCTATTCTTCTTTCCTTTACCTCTATTGTCCTTATCTCAGACTCATTACAACTTGACACCACAATGAAACAGCCTACTCTGATCTCTTCTCTCTTCTTTGTGCTTTAAAGCACCTAAGAGTTTCCTGAAGCCAGATCAGATCATGCCCGTCCATGCAAAACACCTGTGATTTCCCAAGTTTCACAGCCCTTAGAGGGCATTCAAAGGGCTGTAAACATTGACATAACCCCATTTTCATCTTCAATTATTAAGACGATCTTTCGCCTGATCCCCAAGTCACCTAGTTATTCTCAAAAAGTCTCCAAAAAGCTGGCCCTACCCTATGTCAGATATTGATTGAAGGCTTTCCTCAGCTTCCCACCCCAAGGCCAGCTCAAATCTCATCTTTTTAATGAGCTTGGTTCACTTCCCTAATTAAAATTAATCACTCTCTCTTCAGCACTTCCATTGCCCTTTCTATGTCAACCTAGACACTACATTATTGTCATTTGTATATTTGCCTGTTCCTCTTACGTTGTGTAGTCTTCAAAATAAGGCTTGCTAAATGGAATGAAATGGAAAGAAAGAACATGACAAATAGTCTGGCCAACAGCTGCCTCACATCTTCCTGTCAATGGCTCTGCTCCTGGAGGCACTTTGTAGATTGACATTTTACAAATTAGCATCCTGCTCAAGCTGAAAGAGTACCAACGAGACATGGCATGGAAGGCACACAGGAGTAACCAAACAGCACCACTCCTGTGCTGCAAGTAAAATAATCATAACAAATGCTGGGTTAATATTGGGTGTTCTGATGGCTCTTTTCTTTTATATATTTTTTAATATATTTTTATATCAGTCTTAATTTTCATACAATGTATGCTTTATCATCTTGTGTATGGTCCCCAAGGAGTT